CTAGCAGGTTGAGACTTACTGTTCAATTATTTTTTATAGCATCCCTAATAATTCATGGTTGATAAAAGTATCCGCCATTAGTCTCCTAGACGGACAAGCAGCTTACCAAAATGCTTATATTCGACCTCGAGATGCTTAACAATGCATATGTTTAACCAAAAGATCTAGTTTTGTACTTGAGTCAGTTGGAGAGAAACGATTATACTTTTTGCAAAACTTATCCTCTTTAATGTTCTATCAAGATTTGCCTGAAAAGTCAAGGCTTTATTCATAGTAGTAGTCGTCAATAATATTAGGCTGGAAAAGAAGAAAAAAAAAAGAAAAGAAGAAGCTCTGTCTCATTGGAGTTCAGGTAGTTCAGCAAGATTTTAGGGGAATCATGTGATAATATTTGACTAACTAACTTGCATAATGTAGATTAAATCCAGGAGAAAATGTCAAACCGGAAAATTTGTAGATAGAACTTGGCCTGGATGCTACAGTATTTTGCAAGTATCCACTTGCCTTATTCAATTAGTTACCCATGCTCAATCAGTTGCTGATCAAAAGTGTTGCATCTGAACTATGAAGTCATTTTAGCGGACTATCCCACCTTTCCTATCTAATGCCTTTCCAGAAGAGAATGGTTGGGGGCCTGGACTGTAGCTATTCTTTTAAGAAGAAACTGTTTGCTGATCACATAGTTTTTGCTTATGCAGACACTTTTGAGTGACAAAGCACAGCTTGAACTAGATCTGAAAATTTTGAATCACAAGCTTTCTTCTGCCATCTCTGAGTGCAACAACAAAGATGATTTTGCAAAGCAACAGGCAAAAATTGCTCAGGAGGCCATTGCAGGTGAGCTCGCTCATAATAGCCATTGGATTTCCAACTGTGTACATTCTTCAGTCATACAAGTCTGGGTATTGTATACTTCGCTGCAATTTTTCTAGCTCACTGATAAAAGAGTCATTTAGGCTGGGAGAAGACAGAGACAGAAGCATTATCTTTGAAGCAAGAACTTGAGAAAGCTTTACAGCAAAGATCAGTTTCTGAAGAAAGGTTACTTCATCTGGATGCAGCTCTGAAGGAATGTATGCAGCAGTTACGTTTTGTTCGAGAAGAGCAGGAGAAAAGAATTCATGATGCTGTTATGAAAACATCAAAAGAATTCGAAAGTACAAGATTTGTACTGGATCAAAAGTTAGTGGAGGCCAATAAAAGACTTGCCAAAGTGGATGGTGAAAATGGTCAGCTCAGCAAGGCACTCTTGGCTAAGGAAAAAGCGATTGAAGAATTACATAAGCATACAACACAGATGGAGGTAGACTTTAGTTCCCTCGTGACCAGACTAGAATCCACAGAAAAAGAAAATGTTTCTCTGAAATATGAGGTTCGTGTGCTTGAGAAGGAACTTGAGATTCGAAATGAGGAGAGAGAATTTAATCGCCGAACTGCTGAGGTTGCACACAAGCAACATCTTGAAAGTGTGAAGAAAATTGCAAAGTTGGAATCAGAATGCCAAAGCCTACGCATCCTTGTCCGTAAGAGGTTGCCAGGCCCTGCTGCCTTGGCAAAAATGAAGAATGAAGTGGAAATGTTGGGCAGGAATCAAGCTGAAACAAGGAGAAGAAAGTCCAACCCTTCTCCAGTCAGTCCAATGGATATTTCGGCGGATATGGCTTCTGATACCCTCAGGCAAAGGATCAGTTTCTTGACTGAGCAATTGTGTTTTATGGAAGAAGAAAATAGGACTCTGAAAGAAGCCCTTAACAAAAGATTGAGTGAACTTGAATCACCAGAGCAGCTTGAAGGACACGAGACAGCAGAACCAGAGAAGAACAAGCACTACCTACACACTTTCTCTGTGGCGTCCATGTCTGATATGGGCAGTGATGACAAAACCAGCTGTACTGAATCTTCGGCTTCTGCTTTCATATTGGAGCTGGAGCAATTAAGAAGTGGAAAACAAATGGGCACACCATCCAGCAGAACAGTTGGAGCTTCTGACATGAGTTTGATGGATGATTTTGTTGAGATGGAAAAGTTAGCTGTTGTATCAGCAGAAGATCCACCTGGAGCTAGTAATCGTCTAGCGGAAAATGATGCAACCCAGAGTCCCTTGAGAACTCAGCCTAATGGTGCAATGATTCCAGTATGTCATCTGTCTAACCTATCAGTGCCCAGCCACCAAATCCTGTCTCAAAATGTATCACCGAATAAAGCTCATATTTTGTTCGAAAGCATAATACAAATTGTTTTGGAGCAAAGCCAAGTGTTGAAGAGAAAACCAAGTGAAATACTTGATGAGATCAAAGCTGGTTTGCCACAATTCTGTCATCCAAATTTTCAGCTCACTGACAAAAAGGAAAGCTCAAATCAAGATGATGCTTTATGTGTCACAAAAGACATGTCTGAGAGATCTAGTAATGTTCTAGAGGAAGATTCTTCTGACAAAGGAACTTGCAATACTACAGCAACAAAGAGCAGCCAGAAAGTGCAGCTTAATTTAAACAAATCATTACATAAGATCATTGAACTCATTGAAGGGATCAGTATTCCACCCCTGGATAATGGTAACACAGAGTTGTTGTCAAGAAACTATGACAATTTATTACATTTTAAGGATACAGAGACTCCTACAGGCTATATTGGTCGTGTGTTCCAGTGGAAAGCTTCTGAACTCTCAACCACTTTAAAGCAGTTTGTTCAGACTTGCAGTGATTTGTTAAATGGAAAGTCTGGTCTTGAAACATTTGCGGAACAATTAGCATGTACTTTGGAATGGATCATGAACCATTGCTTTTCTCTTCAAGATGTTTCAAGCATGAAGGATGCAATCAGAAGTTATTTTGATTGGGATGAATCAAGAAGCGAAAGTGAAGCTGATAGTGGAGCAACTAATCATGTCTCAGAGTCCAACAAATTGAACATCCAAAATGGAGAGAAGTGCACCTTGCCCCTTGTTTCTGCTTCAAACGACGAGCACAGTCATTTTCAAGTTGAAGAAGTTCTGCCTAATTTTAGAAAAGAATTTAGAAGGTTGAAAGATGAATTGCCGAATAAAGAATCAGCAGAGAATGATTTCGAAGGGAGACTCCAATTAGAGGCTATTAAGAATGAATCCCTGATTAATCAACTTCAGGAATCAAATAAAACAAGCAAGACTTTGCAGGTGGAGGTAGAATCTCCTAAGCCCATGAAGGAAAAAACAAGTCATCAAAACCAAAAGCATAAGCAGGTAAAGGAAGCACTTGAGAGACAGCTCATGGAGACCAAAAATGAATTGAAGGAAGCTTGCGAAAAGCTCATGTATACAGAGAAGGAGCTGCCAAACCAAAAAAGTTCTTGTCAAAAATTGAATGGGACATATGACGATCAAGAGCTTCCCATGGAAAGGTACAGCATTTTTTTTCCTTTAATGTGAGAAATTATTACTTGTAGGGCCTCTCAGAGTTGTGAAATGTGCAATTTGCAGCATGGTTGAAAAGGGAACTGTTGATGGTATCGCCAACCATGGAAGAGAACTTCGAACTGTAAGTTCCTACCCTCAGAAATGATGATTGTGTCTTGTAATTATCTTAGCTTACATGAGCTTTCTCTGAAAGTATTTAGGACTTCTGCACTGATAGATAAGTTATTGCAAGTTAACAAGTTGGAAAGGTCATCAAGTGTGTGTGTGTAAGTTTTAAGGAGTCTTTTGATGTCATCTTTTCGGATAACTGTAGTCAAAATAGTGAGACCCTGTAACTTCTTGGAGCAGTATTATAGAAGCAGAAAAGATGAAAATCAAAAGCATGTCCAGAGTTACTAGAATTTCAAAAAGCAAAATAAATTATAAGTGTTCTTGCAGTTATCTCATTGAGAATAACAGATTTCTATGTTTAGTTCTCTTTCTGGTTTTCCTTCTCATAATTAGGTTGAGCTTGGCAACCTCGTAAACATTATGAGAGCTCTTATTCTGTCCAACGCAACAGCAGTAAATAGGAGTAAGATTAAGTTAGCTTGTTGAACTGTTTTGAGATCTTTCCATAATTCATAGATGGTGGCATAATCTTTACTCAGTCATTTCTCTCCTAGTAATAAACTGGAAAATATCGTGATTCATGAATTTCCTTTGTTGCTTTGAATTTGTAGGATTGGGAGATTGTAGCAGCTTCAGAAAAGCTGGCGGAATGCCAAGAAACTATCTTAAACTTGGGGAAGCAGTTAAAGGCATTGGCTTCACCCATGGAGGCTGCCCTTTTTGATAAGGTCGTCTCTAGCCCTTCTAATCCTGTTGTTGCGACCATGACAACTCCTAAGAAGAATACTCGCCAGCGGTCATCTCTCCTAGATAAAATGCTAGCTGAAGACAAATATGAGACCGAGGATCTCAAGTCTCCTAAAACCAAGGAAATTATTCTAGAGGGTAATAGCTATTCTGTCTTTGGCCCGAATTGGACAATAGAACCTCCAGAGAAAGTGGCAAGTTCAAATGGTGTTAATTATTCAAATAATGAAGCTGAGATTGGTTCTTTGGCTATTGTTCCCAGTAAGAAAAGGGGAAGTGGAGGATTGCTAAAGAAGCTGTTAAGGAGAGGGAGAAACAGCAGTTGCAAGAAAATAGTTTCATAAGCTGGACTAATGCTGAAATTGAAGGGCGGAATCCAGTAACAGTGAAAATTGGTTTAATTTTTTTGGCTAGAATACTACAGTGTGATTTTTGCCTTGCATATCTGTGTGTGAGAGAGATGGTGGGTGTCTCTTTGTTACTTCTATTGTATATAAATTCAAAAGAATACATTTCAATTGAATTAAAATTAAATTTTTTTATTTTACCAAGAATACAGCAATTTTGAGAGGAGGAATAATTCAGATCATCTATGTTCAACACAAGAACTTGCATGGATAGAGCATTCACCGAAGAGAGTATTCAAATCTTAAGTTGGTCATCGGACAGAGAGAGAGAGTTTGCTCTCTATAAGTGGTTTTAGGACTTTTGCAGAACTCAGAGCCAAAGGCCTGCTTGTGCAGTTGACTTGGGAAGACACAGAAACTTGGTCTTGAATTCAATTGAATGTTATAATCAACGTCATAACATAAATCCAAAATATCATCCTCGGATGTAATTCCGGAATTGTAGGCGACGGCAGATTACAAAATTGGAAATGTACATGAAAGCAAGATATGCATATGCCAAAATCAACTTCAGTTCAATTTCTGTATAGCACAAATTTGGCAATTTCATGGAGCCCAGCTTCCTGATAACATTCAGCAATCCGCTCCAAATTGTCATCCCAGGTGCCTTCCACAGAAGCCAAATCCAACAAGAAAGCTGCTTCATCCAGAGCAACCTGTAAATGACGGAAGGTGTATACACACACTGAAGCACACGCTGCCAAAAGGTGAAAGAGATATGTGAACTAAAACAACACAATACGGATCTAGAACCGTTTCAGGTTTTACCTGAGCGGGTTCCTTTCCCCTTTTTATATCTTCTTGTCTTCCCTCTTTGGTCACTCTCTCTTTAATGTACTCAATTTGTTCATCATCCCACCGGGCAATGCTCGCAACTTCCTGAATAGGGTGAAAGTAGGCAAACATGCTCGTAGAGTTTCAATCAAATGTCAAAACATATCAGCAGTATATGCCATATAGAAGATAGAATAGTCAAATATTGGGATACAAGTATAACTGACACTTACATGGTAGTTGCAGCCTAGAGTCCACCATGGTGATTTCAAAGCCACCCTTGCAGAATCTTTAGCTTCTAGGTTCCGTCCAACCCTGCGATATGAATGCAAGTCCCTTACACAGAAAGAATAATGCGCTGAAAGAAGCAAGGCATGAAAGAAATATACAGACTTCAACAGCACTTCAGAATTGACAACAAAGGGCCGTCCAAATCCTGGAAAATGCTCCCTTTTGGTATAGAATTCCCCAGTCACCAATGCTGAAACCTTCCACCATCATATTCACATCAGCAAGTATGTCAAAGAAACATGCAGTGAGACTGAGCAGCAAAAACGATTTTCTTACATGGTCCCCCTTCTGGAAATGATGCTTGATTTTGCGTTCTAAAATGTCTGGAAACAAGCCAACCTGGAAAAGAATATCCAGTTAGCACCCTTTGTCAATTCTACCATTCTTGTAGCATGACAGATGCGTGGTGCTACCTTCTTCATAAGATATGTATCCACACTCGAAAGCCCAGATGCAGCAAAGTCACCCTTCTGGTAGAGTTTCACTCCAGCACCAACAGAGACATGAAATAACTCATCATTCCTTTCTTGGGGACCTTTAATGTCTTCTTCTGCCAAGAGTCTGTGAATGTATTGATCCACCTGTATTTGGACAGATAACAAAGCAAATGAAGGGAAGCACAATAATGCAATCTTGAAGACCTAAAGCTAATGAATACGACAATAACATGTAAAGCAACATACTGTCCCCAGTTGAGGATGTGTAACATCTCAGACTTACATTCTTGGCTAGAAGCCATACCCCATACTTCTGTACTTGTATCACAGGCATCTCCATCCTAAGGATGCTACAAATTGAGATCAAGTAATCTAAGAAGAACATCTCAGCAAAGAAGATTTGAGTTACTTTACCCAGTCGGGGCAGTAGGCCATCGCAGCAAAGCAGTTACAGAACCTATACACAAGCAGCAATGTGTAAAGATAGAACATTGGTCTCAAATCAATATATTTGGTTTATTTTTTTCTTTTTAACTCAAACACAAGCCTTATTCACACCTGAGGTGTTTTCAGACAGAGGTATAGCAAGAGGAATCAACCCTCGCTTGGCTCCCGGAGAGATTATTGAATCGCCTGCTACCAGTCAATACATCAGCCTGAAAATTTCTTAGTGAAAAATATCCGCAATCCATTAAATCACGGATTACCAAAAACTATGATTCACAAGCCAAAATTTAGCCTGATGGCCCCATTTAAGCATGAAAAAGTGTCTGATGAAAATATTACCTTACCTCTAACCTTAAGCATTCTGAGTAGATTACTCAAATGCTGTGGAGGTTGAGTGGCTGCTACTTCTTTAATAAATGAAACATGGTCTGCAGTAGAAAGCAAATAAAAAACTATTTAAGCTGCTTAATCATAGCACTACAACTACGAACTGTGTATTAACCAAAGCCCCTTTTTATGTTTTGGTTTTCTGTAACTGTACCGGGAGAGGAAGAGGTGTAGCACCGATATGTGGGGCTGCAGCGATCAACGAGCATAGGTCCAATTGCGGCGGCGCGTGGACCTCCGAAAGGCAATCCGCCGCTGGCCTTCATATCCCTCCTCCGGCCACGACGGAATATCGGTGGGTCGCGTTTCTGCTCTTGAGCTTCCAATCCGTTATTCCGTGTAGTTTTGGATAAGGCTAACATCTTCTGGGCCTGATATTGATTTTTAACGTCTACACAGGTGGCCCAATTTCTCTTCGGATGTGATCCCAGTTCTGGTTCCTCATTCCTGACATCCTTTGTTGCACAATACGACATAGAGGATAGTGTACTATTTATATCAAACTAGTAATTTGATCCCGTGCTATGCACGGATTATATTTCATATCAAAATAATATTATATATATTTATATATTATGGTACAGAATAATATATATATAATAAATATTTTAAAGAAGTGTATGCTTAACATGTTGCAAAAAATTTAATTTATAATGATTTACATGATAAAGGAATTGTTAACGCATTTAAGGAAAGGGTTAAGTTGGATAGTAAGGTAAGAAGAGTTTTCTTAAAAAAAATTAATTTATCAGTACCAGATAAAACATATTATATTATACCCATATATCAAAACTTATAATATAAAAAAATAAATTATAACCAATTTATTTTTTTCCATTTTTAGAAAAAAAATCTTTCTCCTGCTTTGTATCGCTAAAATTGTTGACTACATTTAGATTAGCATTTTTCATAAATTTTAACATATATTTTAAAAAAATCTATGTAATATACTCCCTTCGTCCCCACTTTGATAGTCCTGTATTCCTTTTTCATCTGTCCCAAATTGTAGTCCACTTTCCAATTGAATAATATAGTTATATTTTAATTTTCCTAAAATACCCTTATTCAATGTAAGTAGTTGTTACTATAAACCTACCCCATTTAATGAGAGTTGATTTTTTTTTTACCATTAATTCAAATTCCCATAAAATTGTACCATATTTAATGTGAGGGTATTTTAGAAAAATAGCAATCTAAATTTACTTTTCCAACAAAATTAACTATTTTTTCTTAAACTGTATGAAAAAAGAAACGGAACTATTAAAGTGGGGTGGAGGGAGTATGTTTTTAAATTTCTCAAAATTATTAAAAATCACAATCATTTCCCTCTTCTCTTATCCGCCAGTTAGTCATGAGATGCCTCCTACGACTTTTGTATCTTCTATCATGATACCACTCTCTCTATTATTTTTTTTTGTCATCTCTGTCATATCTCTACAATCCTTTTCTTTTTCTCTTCCTTCTCCGCCTATACCTATAACCCATATTTCTTCTTCAATTTTTTTCGTCACTTTTCAATTCTTCACCATTTTCTTCCCTCCCTCCTTCTCCCATACCCAACCTCTAAATTCACATCCCTGTGACCCAATATATTTAACTTTACCTATCATAATGAAAATATAAAATTGAAAATTGATTACAATGGTTGCAATTATTATTATCTAAAAATGGAAATGAAAAACTGATAATCTCTATAATATCCTCAAGTACTATAATCAATATGTATATATATATATATATATATTTGACATAGCAAATACATATTTACATATGAAGACAGCAATAAGAATACATAAAATAATTAATGATACCGAAAGTTATCCTTAATGTTTGGGTTTTGCACTCTTATTCAAATCTGATCAGAGTTAAATTTGGGTCAGACATATACAAATTAAATAGTATTTTAGGGTCGAATGTTCTATATTTTTCCCTTAAACTATAATGTTACTTTTTTAAAAATTTTTAGTAGAACTGGTGTTGTTATTCTTATTATTTTTTATCAAAAATGAATATTTCAAAAAAAAAATCCACGTTAAAAGGCCAGTACTACTTTGTTTTTTATTTAGTGGTTTCATAATTTAAATTCCATGAATGGTACCATTCTTGATTTTTTAAATCCACGACATTATTTTTTTTATTTTTTATTTAATTTTGCTCTTTTACTTAGGATTACTAAGTTAAAAGATAAAATATTATCATTTACTTTTACTAAGTTTGGAAATATTTTTTTCTTTATTTACTCTCCCACTAATAAACTCCAAACCAAATTCCTATATAAGTAGAGTCACTTCTTACTTTTTTAAATAAGAAAGACATGGAAGTCACTTCTTACCTAGGAAAATGTGATTTGCACTCTATTTTTTATTATTTACAATTCCACCATTTGTTTTATCATATAGTTTAATTAATAAAAACTACATGATTAAAATGATTATTACAGCGTGAGTAACAAAAATGGAGTGTAAATAATCTTACTTATTTAAATTAATAAGAGAGCATGAAAGGATGTTATATTTGTTATCTCTTGTTATAGTTTTATAGAAGTTTTAATTGGAGTAGAATCATAAATAATACAAGGCAATCGGAAATGTGATAGGTTGAAGTTCAAATAAGATAACATGCACATGAACCAAAAATTTTAAATGAAATGATTTTAAAAAGTAATCAAAAATTTCAAATGTGAATGGTAGATGTGGAAGTTAAGAGAATTATATTTTATAAATTAAATTAAATGTGAAATGCTAGAAAAATAGAACTGATAGTGGAAAGATGTGTGGAGGCTTGTTGCTAAAAATTTATTTTCAAATTTATATAGATATAGATTTACCCAAAAAAAATAAAGGAACGAAAACAAAAGGGAAAACGAGAACATGTCCTGTCCAGAACTTGGACCATTTTCTTTTGCTCCCAAAGCAAACAGCGACACGTCGGGAATAATTCAAAATCTTGGGCCAAGCATCAGGTTTTCCCCCCAAAATTACTCTGTCCTTGACCCAACCTACCGAAGTTCGCACCGAACAAGATGAAAAAAAAAAAATACTAACAAAAAAGGGAAGAGAAGCCGGTCTCACCCTCCGGTTTTATTGCTCACTGTATTTCTGCTACTGCACATATTTCCGTTCCCCGAACGACAACATTACCCTTGGAAACCCAATAAACGCGATAGTTTTTCATGCTCAAATGGAAGTGTCCTATCAAAATTTGTCTCCACTAACCCTTTTATAAGAATTTTTGGTGTGCCAATGATTTGGAAATCAATTTGAATAGACAGTCTTTGGTAAGATGACTTGAGGATTCAGTTTTCGCTCCATTCAATTGTAACAATAATTAAAAAAAGTAAGTTTAAGGGATAAAGAACTAAAAAATTATAATTGCATAAGAAATGAATCACATGTAGAACAGTGAACGACACAGGTAGACCTGGCAATTATACCCAAAACCCAAAAACCCACCCAATCAATCCACTAATTTCAGAAGTTGGGTTGGGTAAATTATATAAACATGATGGAATGATTAATCTTGTCCATTAGCACAAAATAAAGAGAAATATGAAGTGCTTATTAAAAAAAAAATAAAAGTATTGATAACTTATCTCGATAAAAAAAAACTACATAATATATATATATATATATAAAGTTTAAGAAGCATATGTAAGATATGATCGGTTTGACTTGCGAAACGTGTGCCTTTAAAATTCTGTAATTTTTATAAAAAGGAAAAAAAAATAAGAGAAAGGGTTAGAAGAATTGTTATCTTTCTAGATCTTATTGGAAATAGGACTACGGTTTCCATACAATCCAGATATACCCAATCCAGTTGCATGTCTTTTCTTTGATGGACAACTAAATACACACAGGAAGTTTTCAAAAGGGCAATGTTGTATTTCCGCAAACAAATTGCTCTGGCAGGATTAAGTTTGTCCTGTCAATATCACCTAACCTCAGTTTTAAATTCATTATCCTTACGCCTTCGGCCCTTCCTGATTGGAATTTTAATTCAATGAAAAAAAAATGAAATCCTAATCATCGCATTCAGAAAACGGCCGCTGGGAATAGAATAGTTGACAATATTAGTAAAAGACGAAAAAAGAGCGAAAAAGATAACCAGAATTCTTCCTTTATGGTCCCCCGACATCCCTCTCTTAAAATTCAGCATGGCCTAGGGTTTTAAGTTTAACTTTCAGCCCACCAAATCCAAAAATTTCCTGCCGCATTGGTCTTGGCGTTGAATGAATCGGATCTTTGTTTGGAGCTCCATTGCAGGATCCTGCTCAACGTCGGCGGACAACTTTGCCACCGGCAATGTCGGCATCCAAGGCATCCACCTCCTCTTCCCCCTCCGGATCCGACTCTCTCACCGAACATCCTTCCGTAATGCTTCGTCCCATCGTAGATAATTTCCTTCTCATACTGCATTAAAGTTCTCATTATCGCCAATGAGATATTAGATATTTATCTTTATATATTTTCTAAAGGCGTGCGTGCATTTTTGCAATCTGGGAAGGCTTGCTAATCGATTTTTCCTTTCTGTTTTTCTTCGGCATAAGGTTGGATTGTGATCATTCATGATTAATGTTGATCAGGTGTGTTGAACAAGTAGAATTGTTAGCATTTGTAATTAGGTTGTTATCTTAAATGTGATGTATATTGGTTAACTTCTAGTGTTACTTAATAAAAATTACAAGCTGTTTACTTTTTCCTTTTTCTGTGTCATGGCCACGCCTGCGTTTTTAGGGTTTGAGCTGAACTTAACTACGTGTATTGATTTATACGGAAGGCTCACTTACAAGCACCGACCAACAGCATGCTAATTTGGAAATGTTTTAATATGTTTTCTTTGTTAAGTTATTCAGAGGAGAATGTGCTTGAAGCTATGTTCAAATCCAGATTAACCTAAGCTTAGAATTGTTGATGAATTTCCATTGCTTGTTCAAACATTACATGCAACATCTCAGAATTTAACCTATATTCGCTCAAGGGAGGAAGAGTGAGAGCAGAATGTGAACTCATCTAAACGTCAAACCATGTCTCGAAGCCCATCCTTTTCATCTAAAGTGCTTGTGACATTTCTTATATTTTACCTCAGGTTTAGGCATTTCCTTACATGTTTATTATTTTATAAAATTTGTGGTTATCCCCTTGTAATACAAAAAATTTTTGAGTGCATAACAACCAGAATTGCTGCTAGCAAAAAATAAAAGACATGCAAAGTGGCTGCTAAAGACTATCATTCGGTCTTTGCCGAGCTAATAACCATAAATACATTCTTATTCTTTATTCCATTCTGGATTTCTCAATCCCTATGAAATTGTCTTTCAAGTTCGTCAATCTGACCTGAAGTTTCAACTCCAAACTGGAATGAGAGAAAATTTTCTTTCAATTTTTTTCTCGCTGGAAAATTTGTTCTACCAACTTTTGCATGAGATAGATCTCTCTTTAGAGCTGCAGGCTAGTTTAAGTTGAAGA